AATACAGCTTATTGGTATTTTAGCCTTCGTCAAATATTCAGCACTGGAAAATGGCATGGAGGGGGGGTTGGGGCTGGCGGGGGGCTGTGGGGACCCAAACCAGCAGCAAATTGCCTTTCCAGAAGGCAATTGCCTTTCCGCCCCCTCGGCCACCAGCCCTCCTCCTCTCCTCCAGGCCCTTTGGTCCACGCTTCGCACGCACATCGGCCTCTCCCATCCCACGGGGCATCACGTCGGTGTCAGCGCATCCCGGCGGGAGAGTCCAGCCGTGCCCTCCTGCATCCCTCCACCCCGCAGAAGGATGCTCCCCAACCCCTGCCACCAACCAGGCACCTCTGGGTGCCCTGCCCCGGGGGCGTTTGGGTGCCGGGAGGGTTGTTGATGCTGCGATGTGTCCCTTGCATCTGCAGCTATGTGTTGGATTGGTGTTGTTTTGGTTTTTTCCCCACAGCAGCCCCCTGCCACCAACCAGGCACCTCTGGGTGCCCTGCCCCGGGGGCGTTTGGGTGCCGGGAGGGTTGTTGATGCTGCGATGTGTCCCTTGCATCTGCAGCTATGTGTTGGATTGGTGTTGTTTTGGTTTTTTCCCCACAGCAGCCGTCATTATAAAGCTTTTAAAAAAGCTTTATATATTATAAAGATTGCCAGATGGGTGGGAAGGAGAGGGAGGACAAGTGGCTCTGCTACGGCCTGGGAATTTGCACCCAGGAGGAGCAGGGGGCCAGCGATGCTGCTGGCTGGGGAGGGGGGACGAGCCGGCCGAGGTCCCCGGGATCGATGCGGGTGGTTCTGCGGGGGCTGAGCGCATCACCCCGCAGCTGAGCCGCGGCCAGCAGAGGCCACGGGATCAATGCGGAGTGAAGGAAATACGGCTGCGGACACGCGGCTTTTACAGCTTCCTTCCCCAAGAAAAGCTGGGTTTTATGGACTTCTGGTAATTGCCAATTAATTTTGCTGAAGCTGAGGGCAGGAAGGCAGCCCAGCTCTTTAAGGGCACCCACGCAGGGGCGGGCAAATGGAAAAACACCTTCTTTTTTCCCCACCTATTTTCCTGCACATCCCTCAGCAGAGTCTGGACGGATGCAATCCCTGCGAAAGCCCAGCAGTGACCGGTCCTGCACTTCTTGAGGCACTGAAAAGGAAAGAAAAATCTGGCTGGATGGAGTTAGGAGTTGGCCGGAGCTCCAACTCGTGGCCACGGTCACCACCTCGCTGCTCCTCATCCTCCACCTTGTCATCAACTTCGTTTATTGCCCATCCCGAGAAAGCAGCCGGGAGCCCCAGAGCTCCAGAAACCAGACAGGCGAAGAGAATCCAGACCCTCTCAATTAGGCAATTTTTTTCTGAATGAAGGGCCCTGCTCCTCCCCGCGCCGGGAACGTGATTGACATAAATCCCGGGGCTGATTAGGGGCTTGTCATTTAGCACCTATAATGCCTCCCTCCTAATAGCATTAGGGCCTCCTTGGCGAGACGCTAACGCAGTTTGCAGCTGCACCGTGGCGCCTGGGATTCGGCCGCCGAGCGGCGAGCGCGCCGCAAAATGAGCACATCTCTAATCCGAGGAGACAGTAATGAAAAAAGGAGCTTGCCTCGATAAGGTGCGCAGAACACAGGGAGGGGAAAAACGGTCCCGGTACACCCGGCCCCAGGAGCATCATCTCCTGGCCACGGGCAGCATCCCCACCCCGGCGGCTCGGAGAGCTCGCTCCTTCCTCCTTTCCTCATCCTCTCCATCATGGAGGTGCCCGTACCCCTCTTTCCTCGCTCTGGCCCTCCAAGCCTTGCCAGCCCAGCCTTCCCCTGGGATCTGCCCCTCTTTCTCCGTGGTGGCTGCATCCCTGGTCCGTGCCCCTCGTCCCGGGATGCAGCTCTGCCTCCGCTCCCGGAGGGGAGCGTGGGAGAGGGGCCGGGGGCTGGAGGCAGCGACCCTTGCGAGCTCTGAACAAATCTCTGTTTTGATTAGCTGTGCTCCTAAATGATTTATAATCAGCATAATACAATAATGACAATAACTCCCTAATCAGATTAAAGCGCTCTCCATTCGTCTGGGGCTTTGCGCCGTAATCTCTTCCTCCCCTCTCTGCCATCGATTTTGTTTTCTCAGCCCAGCCCCTCGCTGAGCCCCTCCGAGGGCTTTTCCAGCCTGTGCATCCTTACCCGGACATGATATTCCAGGACAGGTCCTCTTTTCCGCCCTAAACCCCGTCTACAGAGACGGGAGAAGTCGTGAGCCGTTCACTCCCGGCACTTTGCCCTGCCCGTGCTGCTGCCGCTGTGAAATTTGATTAGTGCCATTCGCAGCGACTCCCTCGTTAGCCTGACTGGCACGGTACAAATCTCGTTAGGCCCTTAGGAACTTTAAGTGAAGTCCGGAAGGTGTTTCCATTTCTTTGGTTAATGAAGAAAAATAGCGGTTGAGGCGGCTGGAAAGAGCGGGGATTGCAGCGGGGAGCTGGGCTGGAGGACGACGAGGAAAGAGGACTGTGTTAACACTGATTAATAATAAATAACCACCATAATGAGCACTAATTAATAATAGCACATGCTTAAGCAATTGATTCCCGGTGAATGGCATCGTGCCGTCAGGAGTCCCCATCGCTGCAGCTAACCAAGCCAGCGGTGCTGCCGGATGCTCCTGGCCGTGCCGGGGTTGCCCCAGGTCCAGAGATGGGAACCAGCCCGGTCGTGGATGGGCATCATCCCTCACTGCCGTAGGAACAGACCCGGGAAAGGACGAGGAGCTGCGGGATACGGAGCATCTCCCATCCCTCAGTGCACCCTGCCGCCTCCTCAGCCTCTGCGGGTGCCATCGGCAGGTCCCAGGGCACGGCAAGGTCTGCCTTGCTCCGTGCTTTTCCTTGGACCGCTGTTCACTCACTGGAAAAACCTACTAGAGGTTCTTTTTTCATATTTTTTTGGACCAGTTTTAAGGGTTTCTGCTCAGGGAGCATCCCCGTGCCCTGTGCGATGCCAGCCGGGGCAGGCAGCGCGAGGGGAGCGCGGCTGCCGGGGACCTGTTTGTTTCCCAGCCCCTTCAATTCAGCGTGTGATAGATAGATTGATACGGATCTTTAATCAGTGTAATATATAAAGCACTTAATTTGCCTTATTAAAAGTCTGCACTTTGGATTTTCAGGATCCAGGAAATTAACTCAAGCACCTAAGCATTTATTTGATTGAAAGAGATTATAAATAATTCATGCCTTTTCTTTGCCTTCCGTGGCAGACCTGCCGGGGTGATGGGGGACCGGCAGCGGCTCCCGAGGTCTCTCCGTCGCGGTGATGGAGCCGGTGTGCACCGGCGATGGCCCATCCGAGGTGATGGGCACCGATGGAACCCGGGACAGTCCTGGGGGACCGTTCTGTGCCAGGGGACCATCAGTCCATGGGGGACTGGGGCCGGTGCCTCTCACTGCGCCCATCAAGGGGTTGGATGTCCCCTAGCAAGGGCTGTGCAGGGCTGGAGGTGGCCGGGACCAGGGGAAGGAGAAGGAGGAGGAGGGGGAAGAAGAGGAGCAGGCTGACCCAGAGCAGGTCAGGCTGTGTCAGGTCGTGTACAGGTCTCAATGTACTGGGAGGAGAGGAACCAGCCACTAAAATCACCATGACAATAAAGCTGAGTATTTCATCTATAATTCAGAGGAGCTGAAAAGTGGTTTTATAAAAAAAAAAAAAAAAAAAAATAATTAAAAATAAGAACGTGGCTGAGACAGTAGAAATTTATGCCGCTGTTCTTGCTGAGCGAGGATGTGGCATGACCTTCGTTCGGACAGGCATGGTGCCCAGCCCGGGCCACAACGCTGGCTGCTGGGGTGGCCAAGAGCAGGCACGTCCCCGGGGGGCTGTGTGCGGCCACGGTGCCATCCCAGCAAGGGCTGAGCGGCGTGGGCGAAAAAAAATCCGCAGGGGAAGGTGTGTGTTTGCTGTGGGAGCTGGGCGTCGTTCGGCCGCATCTCACGGTGTGAGATGTGCATCCCCAGGGGTGTGCGTCACCATCTGGGGTGGGCTGAGCATCCCAGGGCCGTGCATCGTCCGGCTGCATCTTGGGGTGGGGGATGTGCGTCCCTGGGGGTGTGGGATGTGCATCCCCAGGGGTGTGCGTCACCATCTGGGGTGGGCTGAGCATCCCAGGGCCGTGCATCGTCCGGCTGCATCTTGGGGTGGGGGATGTGCGTCCCTGGGGGTGTGGGATGTGCATCCCCAGGGGTGTGCGTCACCATCTGGGGTGGGCTGAGCATCCCAGGGCCGTGCATCGTCCGGCTGCATCTTGGGGTGGGGGATGTGCGTCCCTGGGGGTGTGGGATGTGCATCCCCAGGGGTGTGCGTCACCATCTGGGGTGGGCTGAGCATCCCAGGGCCGTGCATCGTCCGGCTGCATCTTGGGGTGGGGGATGTGCGTCCCTGGGGGTGTGGGATGTGCATCCCCAGGGGTGTGCGTCACCATCTGGGGTGGGCTGAGCATCCCAGGGCCGTGCATCGTCCGGCTGCATCTTGGGGTGGGGGATGTGCGTCCCTGGGGGTGTGGGATGTGCATCCCCAGGGGTGTGCGTCACCATCTGGGGTGGGCTGAGCATCCCAGGGCCGTGCATCGTCCGGCTGCATCTTGGGGTGGGGGATGTGCGTCCCTGGGGGTGTGGGATGTGCATCCCCAGGGGTGTGCGTCACCATCTGGGGTGGGCTGAGCATCCCAGGGCCGTGCATCGTCCGGCTGCATCTTGGGGTGGGGGATGTGCGTCCCTGGGGGTGTGGGATGTGCATCCCCAGGGGTGTGCGTCACCATCTGGGGTGGGCTGAGCATCCCAGGGCCGTGCATCGTCCGGCTGCATCTTGGGGTGGGGGATGTGCGTCCCTGGGGGTGTGGGATGTGCATCCCCAGGGGTGTGCGTCACCATCTGGGGTGGGCTGAGCATCCCAGGGCCGTGCATCGTCCGGCTGCATCTTGGGGTGTGAGACGCCCATCCCTGGGGGTGTGCATTACCAACCAGGGTGGGCTGAGCATCATTCGGCTGCATCTTCGCAGCGTGGGACGTGCATCCCTAGGGATGTGCAGTGCAGGTTCCTCTTCTTCGCAAACTTGAGGGCCACGTTGTCGTACTCGGTGTCCCCCAGCCACTCCTTGCCCTGCAGCAGGAAGGGCTGCCGGAGGGGGACAGGTCTCTTGGGCACCGCGTAGTCATCCCGCTGCGGGTTGTAGGGGTACTCGTGCCCGGCGGGCTCCTCCGAGGCCGCCTGCAGCCTCCACGCCTCCCCCTTCACCTCCTCGGGCTCGTCGTAGACGGTGTGGGAGGACAGACCCTCGGGCTCGTCGTAGATGTGGTCGGGTTTGGCGGCGGCGGGGCGCGGAGGGGGCTGTTTGCCCGCTCGCCCCCCCCCCCCCCCGGCGCCGTCGTGGAGAGGGGCCGGG